TTTATCGTTTATCGTTTCGTTATCGCTGTTAAAAACATTTATCGCTATCGTTTTATCGTTTTATCGCTATCGCTGTTAATTTTTTTTTAAATGTTATCGTTTATCGTTTATCGTTATCGCAAACCTTTCTTATCGTTTTATCGTTATCGCAATTCCGAAAATTAGTTATCGCAGAAAGCACTGCAAAAGATGCATTATAAGATATGCCATAAACGGAGCCGCTGCGCAACGCCGTATTTGAGATACTTGCAAAAACAAACTGGGGAGGGGGGGGGGGTAAAAAAACCCACAGCACGGCGAAGGTTTAAGTCTTACGTTGACCTTCCAAATCAGGTCAATGACCCAAGTTCGGGAAAATGGTACCTACCTGATAGAAAGAACGCAGAAAAATAAAGGCACCAAAAGAAAGGAAATATCAAAGACCCTTGATATATAAGCATAAAGCAAAGCAATGGGGTATGATGAGTGGGATTTCATTAATGACTCAATTCAGGCCCAAAAAGTGGGCACCGTGGGCACCACCCCGTGGGACCTGCCGGTGCTGCCGACCACTGTTCTAGGGCCATAGCCCATAAAACACATTGAATGTTTTCAGCTTGACGATACGGATCGACTGGTAGGTATGCTTGTCTTTTTTTCCGGTTAGGTCATGAATTTAACCACGGTCAACTTTTCTACTTTACTCTTTAAGGTCAAATTATAATTAGGTGGTTTCGAGCATTAGGACGAGAGAAATGCTATCCTGGTAAGGTTAATATAGCGTAATAGTAGGTAACTACCGTTGATCTAAGGTTAAATCCGACTCCGAGTCATTACCTACTCAGAGAAATTACAAAAAACGGGAAACCTATCTAATGAGCCTTTTTTTGGACACCAAAGATCCGTCATCGGTATGCCTAGTGCCGCCCCTATTAGATGCTAAGTGCACCGCCCCATCAGATGCAAAAAGTCGAAATGCCGCCCCTAAATCCTAATCGTTATTGCCGACCCAGTGAAAATCCCTTATCCCGCGAGTTGCTGGGGGGGGGGGGGGCGTTAAACGCCCCCACTTTTTTCGCCGGGCCATAACATAAAAACAGCGCGCGCAGGCGCGCCAAAATTTGGATACCTGTAGGGAATTGATTTAGGTTTACCATGACAAAGTTTCAAAAAAATCAGTCGGAAATTTTTGAGATATCGAGGTTTAAGTGACGTCATGATTTCTGAGTTTTCGACCAAAAACGGCATATGTTCAAAAAATAATATAAAATCACATAATAGACATAAAGACATACCGTAAACGCCATTTGACTGCCAATACCATGAACAATCAAATGGCTATCTTCGATTATGGATTATCGCTCCGCATTTTCCAAAATCTTGAGCTGAATCTTGGCAATTTCTCGTGACTACTTTACGACCACGATACATGCATTTCTTAAATTGATCTTTTTTAGCCAAACGCGTACACATATGATAAAATGAATGTCACCATCGTGTTCTACGCCCCAAATTACCCATAAAACATGTGTCACAGGCTGCGAATATCAGTTTTGATTTTCGGGGATATGTGCCTGCCCGGTTGACCTGACCTTGACCCTGACCTATGCTTGACTGACCCCTACATGGAGCTGACACTCTTGTAGTAGGCCTTATATGATGGATTGTGCACCGTTTTGACAGAGTTTATGACGAGAGGCGCCCATTGCAAAGTCCTGAAGTCCATGCTACTGAAAGCCCGATTTCAGATGTTTGACCTGACCTTGACCCGACCTATGACCTCAAAATTCAACTTTAAAGTACTCATCTGAAGCGTCTCGTCGCGCTCTTTCGTTTGCCGCCTCGTGGGTTTCGCTGCGCCTATTGGTTCTCGAGTTATCGGCTGGGGGCGTCAGCCCCCCCCCCCCCCCCCCCAGCAAACGGTGGGTGGCGAAATACCCCAGCAACTGCCGGGCTATAATACGCCCTTGTAGGTACTAACTTCTGGACCGATCTTGGCCTCGTTTCATAAAGCGAGTCCGTAACTTACGTCGGTTTTTGGTCTTGTATTGCAAGTGTATGTGAAGCGCTAAACTTATTTGATATTTCCCCTTCTCCCTTCTGTTCTTGCTTACAAGATAAATTGAAATTCAACGATTCAAACTATCTTCATCGCTTCACATGGCACATGCACTTGCAATACCTACAATACCAAAAACCGGCTTAACCCGCACCCTGCTGGGGGGGGGGGGTGTTTGAACACCCCCCCCCCCCTTGTGGTTTTTCGCGAATATCTCAAGTTTTTGGTACACCTTATCATACATCAATTCTACACATGTTGTGAAAATTTCAGACCAAGGTCATTCAAGGTCAGGTCACCAGGTCACTTGAAGTGACCTCACCTCATAAAAAGTTTCAATGTCTGTCATAGCTACACCGAGTGACCGATCGCTTTGAAACTTTCAGCGATTGCTAAGAGCAATAGCATGTACAAAATGTATATCTCAGAATTTTGATATCGATGACCTAAGGTCAGGTCAATTTTGCGACCTCCACATTATAAGTCAATGGGAGAAAATTGAAATGCGCCTCTTTTGGACGAGAGACATTATAAACACTCCCAAACAATGAATTACAAGTGGTTTAGACACACTGAACATGAAAATGGTGTCCGTGACCCCTGTTTATGCCCTGAGGTCATCTTAGGTCACGAATGGTATCTAACAGTTTTTCGCAAATAACTTTTGATAGAGGCATGCTAGAGCGATGAAAACGCCTTAGATGTGTTCAGCTCGACGATACGGATCGACTGATATGCAACATGATCCTTTCCGGTCAGGTCATGACCTTGACCTGAGGTCAAATTTTCAAGTTGACCTTTCAAGGTCAAATTAGGGGAGAGTGGGGCAATGGCGACACCATAAGCATTTTGCTAAATAGCTTAGCTATTTGAGGCTATTTTATGGTGATTTTGACTGTGGTTGTAGCCAAAGGAATAAGCTTTCAGATAGCACCCAGTTTTAGTATCTCAGATCACTGATGACAGATTCAGAGCCTACGCGAAAATGTGGTGAAAAATGGAGGTGCAAAAAAGCGAGGGGTAATGCCGGCCACTAAGCGCAATAGCACAAAAGTCGAAATATCGTCACTGGTATTCATCCTTAAACCGTTCTTTCGATGGAAATTTAAGTGAGAATTAAGAAACGACAACTGTATTCAGCAGTTAACAGTACACTGCACTGCAACACAACACTGCTCTCGCTGCAACACAACAGCGCGGCGCCAACAGAGCAGCAAACTAACACAACCGTAAACACAGCAAGCAAACTGATACAGCCGTAAACACAGCAACCCGAAACGTTGAGCTTTAACGACAGAAGTCGTAAACAAAACCGCGTGGAGTCATTCCGGACACGTGTCCGGTATTACCCCGAGGTCAGCTTTATTTTAAGAAAGCAGGCAGCAGTCAAAGGCATTGCGACGCAAACGCCTCACATCCAGCAGTCGCCTAAGAAAGGCTTAAAGGGACCCTCCCACCTTCAAAAAAGTTTACGAATTGGCATGAAAGTGATGTCGCTCGGTTCAGAAAGAGCGAAAACGAATATCTACCAAATTTCACCGAAAAATATTCACCGATTTTCAAGATATTTGACTTTTACTTTTGTTTACTTTTTTGGGATCTCCGCTGTTTCTAGCGACTTTATTTTAGAAGTGCGGCGTTTGCGGCAGATGTTGCGCGCAAATAGCATATACCACCGCGTGCTACAAAACGTTTTAGTCAAACATTTAAAAATTGTTAGATATCTGCGCTGACGTCACACATTCAGAGGGGTATTCCTAAGCATTAGCCCCTCTGAATCAAAATGCTGCAATTTTGAAATTCAATATTTCCGATTTAAGGCATTTCTCGATGTTGTGAGTGCCGAAACCGGTAATTGTGAGCCAGGGACCCCATTTTGGCTATCTCAACTCAAATCTAATGTTAAGGTGGGAGGGTCCCTTTAATTGAAGGTCATTGCAAAGCAGCACTTCTGAAAATGCGTTAACACATTTCACAGTCAGCAAATAGATGCAACAAAAATTAAAAATCAGATACGAAAAACACATTTAACGCTATAAAAATGAAAATAATGGAGCTACCGTGACAAACTTGCACCACGTGCTAGAATGGCGCTCAACTGAAATGTAAACAACATCAGCTGATTAGTGATGGACAAAGTACTCACTAGAGATTGGTGGCCGGCATTACCCACCGTCCGCCATTGCCCCACTCTCCCCTATAGTTCATTCGATGCGTCTTGACGAGAGGAACACGATGCCGGTAAAAGTAAGCTCGTACAAGGCTTGGGTCAAAAGTTATTGCAGAAAAACTGTTTCCGAAAAAATCGGCTATTTTTGCAGTTTTTGCCCCCTGCAGGCAAAACCGTTGACGTTAGGTTAAATCTGAGAAAATCACTCAGAAAGGGCGTTAATAGGGCTATCGAATGCGTTTTTCCGCGGCGCCGTAGCTCTATTGGTTCCCGAGTTATGCGTTGGCTCCTTGGAAATTGTCGACATTCGACCTGGAAATCGGCGAAATTTTGCCTTCAATGACCTCTGGTGACCTGACCTGTGACCTGACCAAAAAATTGACCGAAGCGATTTCCTCATTATTTTTGACGCTCTTTCGAACGCCGCCTTCCGCGTATCGCTACGTGGCCCAGGAGCCGAGTTAGAAGGGGGGGGGGGGTGTTCAAACACCCCCCCCCCCCAGCAGGGCGTGGAATTCCAGGACCCCCAGCCGGGCGCGGGTTAAGTTACGGACTCGCTTTATGAAACCTTAATATTTATAGTTTATGTGTATTGTGTATGAAATAGTATGTGTATTATAGTAAGTGTAGGTATGAAACGAGGTCCTGGTCCTATCCATAGAAATAAAGACTTTATATCTATGGTCCTATGTGAAGGATGTCTGAAGGAACCACGCCAACAGGATTCTTGGACTCATCAAGCGCACATTCCTGTCACTGGACAAGACTACACTGCCCATCCTCTTCAAGACCATGGTGAGGCCCCATCTAGAATACGCCAACTCAGTCTGGGGACCGACGTCCAGAGGTGATCAAGACGCCGTGGAGAGGGTGCAGAGGAGAGCGACAAGGTTCGTCCACTCCGTGCGACATCTCGAGTACCAGGACAGGCTCAGGGAACTGAAGCTCCCCAGCATGTACTACAGGAGGCTGAGGGGTGATGTCATCACAGTGTATCTGATGTTGACGGGACGCCTGAAGGTGACAGCTGGTGACCTGCTGGAACGAGAACCGTCCCAGAGAACGAGGAACCACGGTCTGAAACTGAGACAGCCCAGAGTCAACACCCAGCTGCGTCAAGTCTCCTTCTGTTCGCGCGTCATCTCGGCCTGGAATGGACTCCCAGCGGACGTTGTATCTGCCCCAAGCGTCAACGCCTTCAAGAATCGACTTGACAAGTTCTGGACGCACCGAGTCTACGAACTGAGATGTCCGTGAAGTTGGCGACGTCGCCAGCGACTTTTCCAGCGACGAGCACCGATTTTAGCCAAAACCTCGTCCAAGGTCAATTGGACCATGAGGATCACGAAAATCGAACCCATTCACCCCTAAACCTTGACCTTCAAGGTCAAATTCAAGGTCAAAGGACGGGGAACTGAAAAAGTGCCACTAAATATTGTCCGATCTTCAAAAATTTTGGCACCAAAATGTAGCGCGTGCAAAGTTCTAGCCGCACATCGAAAACCATTTTCATCAAGGTCAAACTTCAAGGTCAAATTCAAGGTCAAAGGACGGGGAACTGAAAAAGTGCCACTAGATATTGTCCGATCTTCAAAATTTTGGCACCAAAATGTAGCGCGTGCAAAGTTCTAGCCGCACATCGAAAACCATTTTCATCAAGGTCAAACTTCAAGGTCAAGTTCAAGGTCAAAGGACGGGGAACTGAAAAAGTGCCACTAGATATTGTCCGATCTTCACAATTTTGGCACCAAAATGTAGCGCGTGCAAAGTTCTAGCCGCACATCGAAAACCATTTTCATCAAGGTCAAACTTCAAGGTCAAATTCAAGGTCAAAGGACGGGGAACTGAAAAAGTGCCACTAGATATTGTCCGATCTTCAAAATTTTGGCACCAAATTGTAGCGCGTGCAAAGTTCTAGCCGCACATCGAAAACCATTTTCATCAAGGTCAAACTTCAAGGTCAAATTCAAGGTCAAAGGACGGGGAACTAAAAAAGTGCCACTAAATATTGTCCGATCTTCAAAATTTTGGCACCAAAATGTAGCGCGTGCAAAGTTCTAGCCGCACATCGAAAACCATTTTCATCAAGGTCAAACTTCAAGGTCAAATTCAAGGTCAAAGGACGGGGAACTGAAAAAGTGCCACTAGATATTGTCCTATCTTCAAAATTTTGGCACCAAAATGTAGCGCGTGCAAAGTTCTAGCCGCACATCGAAAACCATTTTCATCAAGGTCAAACTTCAAGGTCAAATTCAAGGTCAAAGGACGGGGAACTGAAAAAGTGCCACTAAATATTGTCCGATCTTCAAAATTTTGGCACCAAAATGTAGCGCGTGCAAAGTTCTAGCCGCACATCGAAAACCATTTTCATCAAGGTCAAACTTCAAGGTCAAAGAACGGGGAACTTTAAAAATGCTACGTCACCAGCGACTTTTCCAGCGACGAGCACCGATTTTAGCCAAAACCTCGTCCAAGGTCAATTGGACCATGAGGATCACGAAAATCGAACCCATTCACCCCTAAACATTGACCTTCAAGGTCAAATTCAAGGTCAAAGGACGGGGAACTGAAAAAATGCCACTAAATATTGTCCGATTTTCAAAATTTTGGCACCAAAATGTAGCGCGTGCAAAGTTCTAGCCGCACATCGAAAACCATTTTCATCAAGGTCAAACTTCAAGGTCAAATTCAAGGTCAAAGAACGGGGAACTTTAAAAATGCTACGTCACCAGCGACTTTTCCAGCGACGAGCACCGATTTTAGCCAAAACCTCGTCCAAGTTCAATTGGACCATGAGGATCACGAAAATCGAACCCATTCACCCCTAAACCTTGACCTTCAAGGTCAAATTCAAGGTCAAAGGACGGGGAACTGAAAAAGTGCCACTAAATATTGTCCGATCTTCAAAATTTTGGCACCAAAATGTAGCGCGTGCAAAGTTCTAGCCGCACATCGAAAACCATTTTCATCAAGGTCAAACTTCAAGGTCAAATTCAAGGTCAAAGGACGGGGAACTGAAAAAGTGCCACTAGATATTGTCCGATCTTCAAAATTTTGGCACCAAAATGTAGCGCGTGCAAAGTTCTAGCCGCACATCGAAAACCATTTTCATCAAGGTCAAACTTCAAGGTCAAGTTCAAGGTCAAAGGACGGGGAACTGAAAAAGTGCCACTAGATATTGTCCGATCTTCACAATTTTGGCACCAAAATGTAGCGCGTGCAAAGTTCTAGCCGCACATCGAAAACCATTTTCATCAAGGTCAAACTTCAAGGTCAAATTCAAGGTCAAAGGACGGGGAACTGAAAAAGTGCCACTAGATATTGTCCGATCTTCAAAATTTTGGCACCAAATTGTAGCGCGTGCAAAGTTCTAGCCGCACATCGAAAACCATTTTCATCAAGGTCAAACTTCAAGGTCAAATTCAAGGTCAAAGGACGGGGAACTGAAAAAGTGCCACTAAATATTGTCCGATCTTCAAAATTTTGGCACCAAAATGTAGCGCGTGCAAAGTTCTAGCCGCACATCGAAAACCATTTTCATCAAGGTCAAACTTCAAGGTCAAATTCAAGGTCAAAGGACAGGGAACTGAAAAAGTGCCACTAGATATTGTCCGATCTTCAAAATTTTGGCACCAAAATGTAGCGCGTGCAAAGTTCTAGCCGCACATCGAAAACCATTTTCATCAAGGTCAAACTTCAAGGTCAAATTCAAGGTCAAAGGACGGGGAACTGAAAAAGTGCCACTAAATATTGTCCGATCTTCAAAATTTTGGCACCAAAATGTAGCGCGTGCAAAGTTCTAGCCGCACATCGAAAACCATTTTCATCAAGGTCAAACTTCAAGGTCAAATTCAAGGTCAAAGAACGGGGAACTTTAAAAATGCTACGTCACCAGCGACTTTTCCAGCGACGAGCACCGATTTTAGCCAAAACCTCGTCCAAGGTCAATTGGACCATGAGGATCACGAAAATCGAACCCATTCACCCCTAAACATTGACCTTCAAGGTCAAATTCAAGGTCAAAGGACGGGGAACTGAAAAAATGCCACTAAATATTGTCCGATTTTCAAAATTTTGGCACCAAAATGTAGCGCGTGCAAAGTTCTAGCCGCACATCGAAAACCATTTTCATCAAGGTCAAACTTCAAGGTCAAATTCAAGGTCAAAGAACGTGGAACTTTAAAAATGCTACGTCACCAGCGACTTTTCCAGCGACGAGCACCGATTTTAGCCAAAACCTCGTCCAAGGTCAATTGGACCATGAGGATCACGAAAATCGAACCCATTCACCCCTAAACATTGACCTTCAAGGTCAAATTCAAGGTCAAAGGACGGGGAACTAAAAAAATGCCACTAAATATTGTCCGATTTTCAAAATTTTGGCACCAAAATGTAGCGCGTGCAAAGTTCTAGCCGCACAACGAAAACCATTTTCATCAAGGTCAAACTTCAAGGTCAAATTCAAGGTCAAAGGACGGGGAACTGGAAAAGTGCCACTAGATATTGTCTGATCTTCAAAATTTTGGCACCAAAATGTAGCGCGTGCAAAGTTCTAGCCGCACATCGAAAACCATTTTCATCAAGGTCAAACTTCAAGGTCAAAGGACGGGGAACTGAAAAAGTGCCACTAGATAATGTCCGATCTTCAAAATTTTGGCACCAAAATGTAGCGCGTGCAAAGTTCTAGCCGCACATCGAAAACCATTTTCATCAAGGTCAAACTTCAAGGTCAAATTCAAGGTCAAAGGACGGGGAACTGAAAAAGTGCCACTAAATATTGTCCGATCTTCAAAATTTTGGCACCAAAATGTAGCGCGTGCAAAGTTCTAGCCGCACATCGAAAACCATTTTCATCAAGGTCAAACTTCAAGGTCAAATTCAAGGTCAAAGGACGGGGAACTGAAAAAGTGCCACTAAATATTGTCCGATCTTCAAAATTTTGGCACCAAAATGTAGCGCGTGCAAAGTTCTAGCCGCACATCGAAAACCATTTTCATCAAGGTCAAACTTCAAGGTCAAATTCAAGGTCAAAGGACGGGGAACTGAAAAAGTGCCACTAAATATTGTCCGATCTTCAAAATTTTGGCACCAAAATGTAGCGCGTGCAAAGTTCTAGCCGCACATCGAAAACCATTTTCATCAAGGTCAAATTTCAAGGTCAAATTCAAGGTCAAAGGACGGGGAACTGAAAAAGTGCCACTAAATACTGTCCGATCTTCAAAATTTTGGCACCAAAATGTAGCGCGTGCAAAGTTCTAGCCGCACATCGAAAACCATTTTCATCAAGGTCAAACTTCAAGGTCAAATTCAAGGTCAAAGGACGAGGAACTGAAAAAGTGCCACGAAATATTGTCCGATCTTCAAAATTTTGGCACCAAAATGTTGCGCGTGCAAAGTTCTAGCCGCACATCGAAAACCATTTTCATCAAGGTCAAACTTCAAGGTCAAATTCAAGGTCAAAGGACGGGGAACTGAAAAACTGCCACTAAATATTGTCCGATCTTCAAAATTTTGGCACCAAAATGTAGCGCGTGCAAAGTTCTAGCCGCACATCGAAAAGCATTTTCATCAAGGTCAAACTTCAAGGTCAAATTCAAGGTCAAAGGACGGGGAACTGAAAAAGTGCCACTAAATATTGTCCGATCTTCAAAATTTTGGCACCAGAATGTAGCGCGTGCAAAGTTCTAGCCGCACATCGAAAACCATTTTCATCAAGGTCAAATTCAAGGTCAAAGGACGGGGAACTGAAAAAGTGCCAATAAATATTGTCCGATTTTCAAAATTTTGGCAACAAAATGTAGCGCGTGCAAAGTTCTAGCCGCACATCGAAAACCATTTTCATCAAGGTCAAACTTCAAGGTCAAATTCAAGGTCAAAGGACTGGGAACTGAAAAGGTGCCACTAGATATTGTCCGATCTTCAAAATTTTGGCACCAAAATGTAGCGCGTGCAAAGTTCTAGCCGCACATTGAAAACCATTTTCATCAAGGTCAAACTTCAAGGTCAAATTCAAGGTCAAAGGACGGGGAACTGAAAAAGTGCCACTAAATATTGTCCGATCTTCAAAATTTTGGCACCAAAATGTAGCGCGTGCAAAGTTCTAGCCGCACATCGAAAACCATTTTCATCAAGGTCAAACTTCAAGGTCAAATTCAAGGTCAAAGGACGGGGAACCGAAAAAGTGCCACTAAATATTGTCCGATCTTCAAAATTTTGGCACCAAAATGTAGCGCGTGCAAAGTTCTAGCCGCACATCG